GGCGCTGATAATTGGCGTCTGTCTTGTGTCGGTGACGTAAAAGACGGATTTAATGCGACCTGACCATTCACACAGCAGTCGCTTTCTAAAACATCGGATATGTATCGGATTCAGTACCACATACGAAACATATCGGATTTGCGCCGTTCATACTGTCATAGCATGCATGATCGGATATGCGTCGCATAGGGTCAAAAAAAATCGGATTTGATGCGCTTTCGCCTGCAGTGTGCACGTAGCTTAAGTTGCTGCTCATTTTGTGTCTCTCTGCCTTCAGTTTTCTGTTCAGTAATTGAACAAAATGTTCTGGTCTAAATTCTTTGTCCTGAGAAACTTGGGTTGATTTTGCACTATCCTTTAAATCTGCCACCCAAGTCATCAAAGTCTTAAGATATGCTTTGAATCATTTGCTCTGTGAAAAGCCATCGAATCTGTGTTGCAGCATTTGGCTGATCTGAGCAATCTTTATAGTCTTTTTCCACTTCACACTTCATCTAACTTCTAAAAACACTAGTGGCCTGGTTCCACTGGCAGCCATCCATACCCATGCAATAACATTCCTTCCACCATGTTTGATAGATAATCTTATATTGTTCAGATCATAAGCTGTTTCTTTCCTTCTTAATACTTTTTCTTTCCATTGTTCCAATAGAAGGCAAACTGGGTTTTAAAATTCTATTTTTTTTAGCTGTGCCACCTGTTTCAGTTGTTTTCTGGCAAAATCTAATCTGCCCTTCATGTTCTACAGCAAACAATCGCTTTGCATCTTGCTGTAAACCCTCTGTATTTACATTGATGTTTCTTGATTGGAGACTATGATCCACTATGTTGGTATAAAGAGTCAAAATTACAAAAATTGTTATTGCTTCAAAACGTATGGACCTAATGCCCTTTAATAGCCCCGGCTGCCTCAGTCTCAGTGTCCTCAGCCTTAAAAGCACAAGAACAAAACAACACTTTTCTTGTTATTTTCTGACATGACAGCTGTTTCTGTATCATTTACAAAAATAAGACCCATATGTTAGAGTGAATTGTTAAATGTTGTCATTTTTATGCCTGCCAACTCTGATGAAAGGATTTTCACTGTCCTTCCCCCCAGATTCTCGAGACTCTGGGTGGGGGGCTGTAGTGTTTTATTGCAGATACATCCTATCTGGAAGATCTGTTTTTTGTGATGTTGCTCTTGCTTTTATGACCCTTTGGTCAGCAGGAGGTAACACACACACATTCTCACATAACACACACACACACACACACATTCTTACAGAAGTTCACACATATACATACAATGCCTTGTCTTAGAACCAAGTGGGCGTGGCTTTGCTGTGATGTTTTCTGTCTCTCAATAAAAGGCAGCAGGAGGAGGTCAGATTCGGGGTCATTTTCGTGGTGGACACAGGCCTCCCTTGCGCAAGTGATCGATCGATCGACTGTCTTGTTTTCTTCATGATGAATAAGTCTCTAGAATTAGCGGGGCTTGTGGAAACACAGACCCAACACCATATTTTAAATTACAGCAAATTATCACATGTCATCTAAACGCATTCTCTCCCATTACGTTGGTTTGTATACATCTACAAATGTCAGCTAAATTAAAACCACTGAGCCATTTATCAAGCTTTTTGATTGTAAGAGCAGTACTTCAGGGTTTTTTTCCACTCAAATTAAGAGCAAACTTATCTCATCTCAAGAAATTTGGCTAAAAAAAATTAAATTAATTCCTCCGCTGTTATTATCTCAGGCAAACAATTCAAATTCTCCTGCAAAGTAACAAAATGCTGTACTTAACACCCCCCCACCCCCACAAGCTGAAACAGAAACTAACACAGAACACATGATAATAACCTGGTGTTTGTTTGTTTTATCTTTTGTTTTTAATTTCCTGTCTTATTATTTATTATTTTTCTAAATGTCCTAATCGTTTTGCAGAGGCAAATGAGTCGTGCTTTTTACCATTTATCTCAATGGTTTTGGAGGCAGAAACATCAGAGCCACATATCTAAAGCCTTTATAAATACTCAAGTCCAAAATATCTGCAGTATGACTAAAAGACGTTCAGGTGAAACATTATGAAGACGTGCCTCATTACCTGCTTAGAAATTACTTGCATATTTAGCCACATATACACACTTCCAAGCAGTTTTTCCTGCTGATACATTACGTACTCCTCCACAGACAGCTGTGCTTGCACTGGCCTCCAGCCTTAAGGCAGCACGACGATGCAAACACATGTTATCCAAGTTTTAGATGAACATAAACATCAATATTTTAAACTGCTGCACTCACTTGGAAACCGAAGCAGATGGTCGGGATGACACTGAACATGGCGGCCCAGGAGTTCATCCTTAAGGAGGAAACACAAGAGTCATTTTCATGGATTCACAAATGCCACCGGAAGAAGAATTAGTCTATTATTGGGGCACCGCTGATAATGCCATGGCATTTAGAGACTCTTCACTCTAGAGTTACTCTGTCAATCACAGGAAAATGGGTGATAAGAGCTGCCGAGTTAAGTCAGTGATCCAGACAGAGCAACACAGGGCTTCAAGTGGACAACTGCGTCTGTCCTGGTGGCCTCAATTCATAACAGATTTATGAGGAAGCTTCACAAAAGCCATATTTCCTAGATGCAACCTCAATATGTGGACTAGCTCTGGTGATGAAGTATATTTACGACACATAGATGATAACTAAAAGATGAAAACGTCATCATCAAGACTGAAAAGAGCATTTAAGAGAAGAGTTAGAATATGTTTATTAGAACTAGATGACAGGACTGCTGATGCTTACCTAACAGTCAAGAAACCCCTCTCTGCAGCACCCCCTGGTGTTGGGTGCCAGTGTCAAAAATGTGTCTGCATAGAGTTCTGTGAAGAGGAACGTTTTCAAAAGAACCTCCATTGGCAGCAATAATTTGAAGTGATTGTTTTCCATATGACTTAATCATGTCTCACATCGTTGTGGAGGATTTCTATCCCACTCTTCTTTAAAACAATGCTTCAGTTCATTGAGGCATATATATATATATATATATATATATATGCCATATAACTTCATCAATCCATCCTTAACAAGGTTACCGGTGGAGCCGGAAGGTTACACTCTGGACAGGTCACTTAGTTGCACCATTCACACCTATGCCCAATTTAGGATCAACTTAATTAACCTAACCTCACTAAATGCATGTCTTTGGCCAGAGTACCCAAAGAGCACATGCAAACTCCACACAGAAAAACCCAGGACCCTTTTGCTGTGAGGCAGCAGTGTTAACCAGCATGCTACCTACCTACCTGTCGCTCACCTCTAGTGGCTCGCCCTCTATGAGAGAGGTTTTTTTTCCCTTTCCTGTGTTCCAGGTCTGCCTCATGAGCCGCAGCGGAGGTGTGTTGCAGCTCGTCAGCCACGACTGCCATCTCAAACCACCACGCCCCT